CAATCCTAGTATTCTAAACATGAAATATATCATACTTATAACAATATCTATCCGTAAACTTAGACATAACATCATTTATAAACCGGTCTAAAAAATGCTAACGTAAACACCCTAATAAAAGCGAATAAAATTTATACCTTTATGAAGGGTTCGAAGAGTGGATTCCAAATATATAATCGTTACTTCGATTGCTTCAACAGTTTGAGAGATATCTTAGAGAGAAGAAAAATTTTAGAGAGAGAGATGAGAGACGGTGAAGAAGATCAGAAGAAGCAGCGATGGTTTGAATTTTTTTTTTTATTTACTTTGCCCATAATTCACTATCATCTTGTTGGGCTTCTTTGATTCGAAAGATTAGAGTCGATTCTACCATTAGATTCAATAGAATTTTCATTTGCGAACTCAGATAGATTTCTAGTCCGAACCGTTTGATTTCCAAAACCAACTCTGTAGAAACAATTAAAGAAGAAACTTGTTCCACAGCTTTACGGCTTAAAGCGTCAGCGACTACATTAGCTTTGCCCGGATGATACTGTATCCGAACATCGTAATCTTTCAGAAGTTCGAGCCACCTTTGTTGACGCATATTTAACTCTTTTTTAGTAAAGATGTATTTGAGGCTTTTATGGTCAGTGAAAACTTCACAGGTCTCCCCGTACAAATAGTGACGCCAGATCTTGAGTGCAAAGATCACTACAGCTAATTCGAGATCATGAGTCGGATAATTGACCTCATAAGGCTTTAATTGACGAGAAGCATATGCGATCACTTTTCCGTGTTGCATAAGAACACAACCGAGACCTTTCTTTGAAGCATCACTATAAACTTGAAACCCACCAGTGCCAGACGGCAATACAAGAATTGGTGCGGTAACCAATCAATGCTTCAATTCCTCAAAACTAGATTCTTGTTCGGAACCCCAATTGAATTTGACTCCTTTTCGAAGTAATCGGGTCAAAGGTAGCGATATTTTAGAGAAACCTTCAACGAATCGTCTGTAATAACCAACCAGACCCAGAAAACCACGAACTTCAGATACGTTCGTAGGTCGTGACCAATAAGTGACGGTTTCAATTTTTGCCGGATCGACTTTGACACCTTTAGCAGAAATTACGTGTCCAAGAAAAGACACTTGATCGAGCCAAAACTCGCATTTGGAAAGTTTTGCATACAACTTTTTTGTCCGAAGAGTCTCCAAAACAATTTGAAGATGTTGATCATGTTGCTTTCTTGACTTTGAGTAAATCAAGATGTCATCAATAAACACGATAACAAATTCATCGACACAATCCTTGAAAACCCGATTCATAAGATCCATAAAGACCGCTGGAGCATTGGTTACCCAAAAGGCATTACTAAGAATTCATAATGCCCATAGCGAGTTCTAAATGCGGTTTTCGAAATATCAGAATCTCGGATACGAAGTTGATGGTACCCGGACCGAAGATCAATTTTGGAAAAGTATCGTGCCTCT